CTGGGCTCATCCATTCCCCAATTCCTCTGAAACCCTCAGTTTGTTTCCAAGAGTCCATAGTCTCTCATGGTTCGTCTCCCTCACTGATTCCCCGTCCCCTTCATTTTTCCCTTCCTTCCCCTAATGTGCTCCATGTTATTCTTTATGTTCCACAAATAAGTGAAACCAAATGATAACTGACTTTTTCCACCTGACTTATTTCATTTACCATAATCTCCTCCAGTTCCATCCATGTCAATGCAAATGGTAGGTATTCATCCTTTCTGATGGCTGAGTAATAATCCATTGAGTACTTATGGACCACATCTTCTTTATGCATTTGTCTGTTGAAGGTCACCTTGGCTCCCTCCACAGTTTTCCCTTTGTGGACATTGCTGCTATGAACATTGGGGCGCCTGTGGCCCTTCTTTTCACTACCTCTGTATCTTTTGGGGTAAATGCCTAGTAGTGCAACTCCTGGGTTGTAAGGTAGCTCTATTTTTAATTTCTTGAGGAACATCCACAATGTTTTCCAAAGTGGCCTCACCAACTTAAATTAAACAGAAGGGGGAGGGAGATGCTATCAGCGCTGGAACAAGGAAGGTGAAATAACAAAAAATGCCTTTGAAGAAAGGATGAAGTGAAGGGCAGGAGCTGACAAAAGGGAAAATTCACACTCTGTTCCTTCACAGTGTCCCCCTAGAACCCCTAATTATGTGCATTTGTGAATGCAGGTAAACCTCCTGTATGCAAACTGAGCACAAGTATCCTAGTGGTGTTAATAAGACAAAATGAAGAAAACTATGCTATAGAGCAGACTCCTTGGAAACTAAATGGGAGTACAATTGATTCACAGCAAACAAACCTAATTAAACTGTCACTAAATGGTATAAAACAGCATGATGTGCATATCTATACACATATGTATGTATGTGTATAGATATACACATATGCATGATGTGTATACACACACACACACACACACACACACACATGCAGATATATATATCCAAGAGACATTTCATGGCCTATCTTACTCTAACAATGTCTGTAACATAATATATGCTCAATAATATTTTGAGCAATAATATAAGCTCAATAAATATTTACTGAACAAACTGATTTGAAAACTCCAACAACTAACACACATTATTGCTGACTTTGAGCCAAATGTTTCTTAGCCAATTCTTTGGCTAAATCTAACTGCAAAATGGCAAATTATTTATTGTGGTTACTCTAGTCTTCAATAAATAATTTCAGCACAAATTTTCAGGGATTAGGAACTGTTTTATGCATGATAACTCTTATCTAGAGTGGTATTTTCTTAGAATGAGTTTCTCCTTCTAAGCCTGCACCAGTGCCACTTCCTGTCTGGGATGACAGTTGCCCCCCTTGGGCCCGACTGCAGGGAGATGTATCAACATGAGCCCTGTGGTTTGGGTATACCTCCCCCATCACACCTCTCACGGTGGCCTCTCTCAGTGCACAGAAGTACATGGCGGAGTCCTCCAGGTGTGAAGCTGAGATGAAAAGTTGGATGAAATTTCTTGTCTTCTGTAAATTCAGTGAGTATCAACCTTCAGTGTGGCATTTTGCTGGTTAAGAATCCTGACGAATAAGGAGAATCATTGCCCCACTGCTGGGCTGCTTGTACTACAAAAGACTGCAACGTGGTTTATTGGTGTTATATGTGCATTCCAGAGTGACAGTCCCCTTCTCCTGCACTAACATCGCTGGTTGGGCTTGAGTTACCTTCTGGGCAATACTGGATCCTGAAGGGAAAAAAAACACAGAATCAGAGACTTCTGGAATACGTGATATGGCCAAAGAACTTCTGTTTTACACACTGTCATCCCTCCTTCCCAAGGTACCCACAAGATCCTGCCTATCTCTCTGGATTTTAAGTCATAGAGGTGACACATTCCCACAGGGACCATCCTTACCTAGCCACACGGAAGCCATGACCACCTGGAGAAGGTTGGAGAGCAACATGTTTGAGTTCTCCCACTTCTCCCACTAGAAGGAAAATGTCTTCATCCTCTTCAACTTCAGGGCTCAGCACTGTGAGAAGAACCTGACTGGGTGAGGGAAGGATTGCTGGTTATGTGCTGCTGTGGCCCCAGAACAGGAAACAGGGGTTTGCTGGTATAGCAAGTTGTATGGGTCCTGTCATAATTCTCTGTGTTCTAGCTGAGAGTCTCACTACCCCACACCCATTTGCATTAGGCAACTTTTTCTTATTTAAATTCAGTTAGCCAACACATAGTACATCACTAGTTTCAGATGTAGTGTTCAACAATTCATCAGTTGCATTCAGCACCCAGCGGGCATTAAGCAACTTTAACTAAAAACATTGCAACTGAAAATAAACATAAGTAAAATTTATATTGAAATGAGGATTGTGGTTTAGCTAACTGTGATATGTTTATTCATTGCATCTGTGATAAAAGTGGGTGGATGGCACTTACTGAAAATATGACAGGTAGGGCTCACTCTGGCAGCACATATACTAAAATTAGAATGATACAGAGAAAAATCAGCATGACCCTTGTGTAAGAATGACACGCAAATTCCTGAAGCATTCCATAATTTTAAAAAACTGCTTGTAATTAATTATGTAAACAACATAAAATGTAAGAATTATGAAAAAAGGGTGTAAGAGTCATGTATGTTCACACTCTGTGATTTACTTAAGGTAGAAATAAATCACACTATGATAAGAAGGCAAAGCGTTTAGACCAATCACTGTAGCTCTTTCAATTGGTTGTTATGCCTGTGTTCCTCCTCACTACCTATGTCTGTTCAGATGCCTATGTTGGAGCCAAAAGCAGAAAAATCTGATCATTCTCTGCTGAAGGGTTCAGCTGTAGCCCTTAGACAATAGATCCACTCACCAAGGTCTCCTTCTCATTGTTTTTTCTCCACAGCTCAGCTCAGCTCTGTTCAGAAAGGCCAGAATGGACACCAAATTTTGGTTGTAAGTTATCAGTCTTTTGAATTTATGGGTTTCCCTTACCGCAACTGAACCACAGTAAGCTTCCAAGCATCATATGCTCAGTTCTGAGACCCAAGGTGATCACTCCATCTACTTGTATTCTTCCTTCTGCCTCAATACCCTCAACACACACATACACATGTGCTCACCAGTGCACACACACACGTGTGTACCAACATGGGCAATGCTGTATTCCTCAATTATCTAAAAATACGTGGTGCTCCTTTTCCCCAACCCTTTCTGGAGGGCACAGCACACACAGGTTCTTCCACACCAGGCCTGGGTTTCTCCTTATTTAGCCTCTCATGCAAGTTCACCCTTATCCATATACAGCTCATTTTCTAAATTATTGATGGCACAGTTGTCTGATAGGTTCTTTCCTGTTTCTCTTTCTGTTGTCAGCTTTCTGCCCTTAAGGGTAGCTTTGCTAAAGTTCTAAAAGAGTATTAGAGGGGCTTGGTTGGCTCATTCAGTTAAGCTTCTAAGTTCAGTTCAGATCATGATCTCAGTGTCCTAGGATCCAACTCCCTGTTGGGCTCACTGCTCAGTAGGAAGTGTGCTTCTCCCTCCCCCTTCTTCTCCCTTTGCTTGTGCTCATGCACTCTCTCCCTCAAATAAATAAATAGTTGATTCAAAAAAAGAGTATTAGAGAAATCAAGAGGTAAACATGTATTATTAATCGACCATTAGTTTTTTTTTTTTTTTTTTTGAGATTTCAATTTTAAGTAATCTCTACCCAAAAGGGACTCGAACTTACAACCTGGAGAACCAGAATTCCAGCTCAAACCAGAGTCAGCCCCCCCCCCCCGTCTACTGTGTTTCTCAAGTCTAATAAAACTCTTATTATATATCCTTTGAATACTTTAAAGTACATATTCACATGCATTTACATTTACACAGGTTTAAATATAAAATATTCATTTTAAACCAATGAAATAAAAATAAACTAACCAAGAATATTTAACAAATATGTAAGGGAATATATTAATATTCTGATCATAGCTCATTCATAAACTCTGCAAATAAGGAGATAGTAATTAAAGAAGATTGAAATAATACTGGCAAAGTCTTGCACTTTGCAAAATAAACATTGCTTTTTCTATTATTTTTTGTACATCTTCACTTTCTTCCATACATTTTCCCAATTCCATGATTTGAGGCTCTCTCTGAGAGGTGGCAAAACAGGAGTTAGAGAAATCAATAGGATTTCCCTCCCAGTGTCACCTCTCTATCTATATCGTTAGGAAACCTCAGTGCAAGAGCATTTTTTCTCACCATATTTCCTGGGCACTGAAAGCTATCTCCCTTGAGTTCTTACTGTCAGAAAGTCAACTGATCTATTTAATTGCCCAGGACATAAGCCACTTCCTCCATTCTGTTTCTGCCCCCAAGCCTTCATGTCGAGTATCATCCTGAGTCTATCACCTGATTTACTAGAAGAAAAAAGAAGGGCAGATGTCCCTGGCCTCTCTTTTCCTTGGTCAGGTGCATGTGTTCCTCCTCCTTTCTTCCCTTCCCTTCTTCTCTACTAAAACCTGGTTTGGGGCTGATGGTCTCCATCACCTCTCCTGCCATACTCTGTCAGGAAGACATTAGGCATCACCACCTTCTCAGGCACACCGTGTGTCTCTAAAAGTGTCATAGACACAGAAACACCTACCAGGGTGCCATGAACAACTTGTGGGGCTGGACGTTCACTGCAAGGATGACCATAAGACCACTTCATTGTTTTGTGACTCTACCTTGAAATTACTTACACTCTGGCTGAGGAACTCTTGGCATCAAACTGTTTTCAGTGGCACTAAGGAACACCTGGGGTTGGGGAATGTTATTCTGGCTCCTATGCTCTTGTTCTCTGTATGATTTTGTATCAACCAAACACTGAGGGACACACAACCACAAACTGTGCTGGAACCAGAATGGATCAGGCAGAGACACTCAGCATCCAGGCCCCCTACAGCTCCCCCTACAGTCCATATCACTGTGTCACTCAGGGTACAGTAGTACACAGCTGAATCTGAGGCTTTCATGAGTGTTTATCCAAGTGAAAGGATTTCAATTTGCGGTCGTAGGTGGCTTCAAATCCTTTGTTGCTTCCTTTCTCCTTGTCCTTCAAGGCGTTCAGGAGGAGCTCTAGACCTTCTCCTGGATACTGGACATACCAGAAAAGGGCAGGGTACCGTGAAGCTGAATAAGTACAATTCATAGTCAGGAAAGCATTTTCTGAGAGGGTCACTTGGTCTTCCGTCTGAGTCACTGAGTCTCCACGGGTTTGTCCTGAGGAAGAAGAAAAGAGACCTGTATCACCTTGGGCATGAAGCTCTTGGATAAATCACAGTTAAACTTTTTACTGATACAAAAGAAGAAAGAATCCAAATTTTAAGAAGGAATTTACTTACCAAGCATTAAGAGTACCACAGTCACATAGCCCGGAGAACACTTCATCTCTGGCGTGTCACCTAAATAATGTTTTTCATTCTTACCATGAATAAGTTTGTAGTGACAGAGAAATGATCAGTGGAAGCCCACATTTCACACAGGAAATGTGATTGTGGTAGGAAGCTGCACCCCCTGGTGGACAGGCGCTGAAATGGGTGCTTGTTGGCCAGAATCCTTAAACACTGAAAAACAAGACCAGACTGGTCATGCAACTACTATTCCAGACCTCTTTACAAAATCCAGTCCCTTGAGAAGCATCATTAAAGTAAGTAGCTGAACTAATGAGTATCTCTTGGATATTTCAAATTATAAAAAATCATGTGCTTGATGTTAGTGAGTATGTTTTTAAGGTAGGTCATTGCTCCCAAATACTATAAAGACAATGAGGTTTCTTAAGTTTCTAACTTTTCTTAACCCTTTCATGTATCTCCTGCATTCTACTAGAAGGGAACAGCAAATACATTAATTATTTCATGCATTCATGAATTTTTTTTTAAAAAATTGTCATCAAAACAAAGTCTCAGATTTAAAAAGACACTGGTAGAAGCTAAGAAAAAATGCTTGAGCAGGTCATCATAAATATGAATTCCAAGATGGTCCTTATGTAAGCACTTCTTTAAAAACATAAAAACAAAACCAAGGAAAAGTTCAATTAATTCTATCTTGATTGCAGAAAATTTGGCGCTGAATTTTGTAAAGAATCACTATGAATGATTGATTTGATGATCCATGAGAACAAGATGTAGCAAAGCCAGGACAGCTGCCTAGTGCAGCCAAATGATACCAACGAACACTTGCTACAATCCACCAGAGACAACACTTCACACTGGGAATATACTGGATGCAACATTAAACCAAACACTAGTGGGGAAACTTTTCTAGGATGGCAGACAATGGGGCTTTCGATGCCTTTCTGGGAGTTAATGAAATCCCAAAAAATCTGGAAAGATGGGATATGCTCTGAAATACTGTCTTAAGGAAACATTTGAGTATCTCCAAAGGGATCTAACACAGTTGCATTCCCTGCATGAGCTAAGAGTGTGGTTGGGTAATAGTATTTTATTTTCTACGTGAATTGAACCATTCTCTTTCCTGAAAGCCACAGCAATCACAAGATTCAAATATCTGGGGTGCCTGGGTAGCTCAGTCCATTGAGCATCTGCCTTCACCTCAGGTCCTGATCCCGAGGTTCTGGGATTGAGTCCCGCATCCTGCTCAGCGAGAAGCCTCCTTCTCCTACTCCCTCTGGCTGACACTCCCCTATCTGTGCTCGCTCTCTCTCTCTCTCTGTCAAATAAATAAATAAGTTTTTTTTAAGTGTCAAATATCAATTGGATTTTGTATTTAATGCATATACCATTTCAAATACTCTCTAGAGGGCAGAGCAAATTTCTCTGGAAAAGTTAGGTAAAGTTAGGACTCACATAGAAAATTCTCTTCTCCTATCACACCCAGATCCTGTGGAAAAGTGGAAACAACAAATGCAATGTTAAACTGAAATGATTTACTGTAGCAGTTACCCTTGAACTACTGTGGTCTGGTACAGCCTTAGCCTTCATGGCCCTGTGTCTTCCCTTACAAAGTCCTAGGCTGTCTCACTTTGAACTGGTCACTGTAACCCACATAACTCAGATGTCCCAAGCCATATGCATTCCAATCTTCCCAAACTATTGAACTAGATAAGTAAAGCCTTGACATCTTCCTTTCCTCACGGGTACAGACTGCTCTGTGGACATTCATTTCATCACCATTACATGACCTAAACCTTTGGTGCCCTGAACAAAATCCCAGAAAAAACCTGTCATTGAGAATTGTGAAATAACCTTATATGTACTATTTTTTACTAGTTCAGCAAATAAAGTAGAGGAAATGGATCCTTGGTTACATTTTTATCAAATAATATGACATCCTATATTCTTCACTGACAGGAATTGAAAAAGTTACTCATATTAGAGATCTTAGACTGAGGTTCTCTGGAGAAATAGCAGAAGCAGACAGTCCACGACAACTGTACACATAATATCATAGGAAAAAAACATGTAACCGCATGACAGACAGTTCCATCTAAGACGATTAAAAAAGAATCCTCACCACCAGGCTCTTTGTTTTGTTGACTGTTTCCTTTGCTGTGCAGAAGCTTTTTATCTTGATGAAGTCCCAAAAACCAATGATGCATTGTATGGTGACTAACAATACACAATAAAAAAAATAGGAACTGAATAAAAGCTAAGGATAAAAAAAAGAAGAATTCTCCTAGATGTTTGGAACCACCAATTTTAATATTTTCCTTTGTATCCTTTAGAGGTTATTTTTATCCTTTTAGACTTATTTTCTCACCTTAATGGTAAAATGTTAGATATTTATGGTTATCCTAAATATTTTATCACTAATAAAATAACTTGCATGGGTATAGCCTTTATTTGAGACAATATGCACCCTAGTGTTATAGTTCAGCTCTGCACAGACAATGTTAGTGCAAAAATGTTTAAGAATTATTGGATAAGGCCAACAGACACATGAAAAGGGCTCCACATAACTTGGCATCAGGGAAATGCAAATCAAAACCACAATGAGATGCCACCTCACACCAGTCAGAATGGCTAAAATTAACAAGTCAGGAAATGACGGATGCTGGCGAGGATGCAAAGAAAGGGGAACCCTCCTACACTGTTGGTGGGAATGCAAGCTGGTGCAACCACCCTGGAAAACAGCATGGAGGTTCCTCAAAAAGTTGAAAATAGAGCAATCACACCAGCAATTGCACTGTTGGGTATTGACCCTAAAAATACAAATGTAATGGTCCAAAGGGGCACATGCACCCAAATGTTTATAGCAGCAGTGTCCACAATAGTGAAAGTGTGGAAGGAACCTAGATGTCCACCAACAGATGAATGGATAAAGGAGAGGTGGTATATATATATATATATATATATATATATATATATATACATATACAATGGTGGTGTGTGTATACACACACACACACACACACACACACACACACACACACACACACAATGGAATACTATGCAGCCATCAAAAGAAATGAAATCTTGCCATTTGCAATGACATGGATGGAACTAGAAGGTATTATGCTGAGCAAAATAAGTCAGAGAAAGACAATTATCATATGATCTCCCTGATATGAGGAATTTGAGAGGCAAAGTGGGGGCGTTGGGGGGGGTAGGGAAGAATAAAATGAAACAAGATGGGAATCAGGAGGGAGACAAACCATAAGAGACTCTTAATCTAACAAAACAAACTGAGAGTTGCTGGGGGGAGGAGGGTATGCAGAGGGTAGTTGGGTTCTGGACATTTGGGAGGGTTATGTGCTATGGTGAGTGCTGTGAAGTGTGTAAGCCTGACGATTCACAGACCTGTACCCCTGGTGCAAATAATACATTATAGGGCAATTAATTAATTAATTAACTAATTAAAAAAGGAAAAGTAAAAAAAAAAGATTATTGGATATGTTATTCACGTCAACTATTCGAAAAGCCAAATAATAACCATACCCTAACACTACTGCTAGAGTGAATCTTCATCAATTAAATTACCCTTAAACTGTGAGAAAGTATCTATTGATAAAAATTTAGAATGGAGTTTGTACAACTCCACTTGTGTACAGAATTTGACTCAACTTTATTATGAGAGATGATCTAACTTTCAACACCAATTCTGCATTATCAATTGCCAAATACATTTTGTAGAATTATAAATCAAGTCTCTAAAGGAATTCAAACACTTGAAATGATGAGCGTGTTCCTCTGAAAATAACTTAAAATTTCAGAACTTCAGTTGGCTGGTGACAGAGGTGAGGTCATGTGTGTGCCTGTGGCATGTGCTTCCTCCCTCCAAAACACATAGTTCTCAAAAGCTCATGTGCTTCATGCTCCAATCAATATGACATTTTTAAAACACAAAAATAAGAATAGAACAATATTTGTAAGGATTTGGGAATATGGAATTGTGTAATGGCAAAAGAATAGCACAAAGGACATTTGGAGAGTAATTAAACTATTTTGATTCATGATCTTACGATGGTCATATACAGATGAGGATCTTTACAATGTACTAATCTTTTTTTTTTTTTTTTTTTTTTTTAGTAAAAAGCAACAAAGTTTATTTTTATAGTTTTCTCTGATTTAAAGTCCCCATCTCTGGGGTTAAGGAGTCTTTTTACTTCTTAGTATAAGAAAGATATTTTTTATATAGGAGATTTGTTTCCTGCTTTCAGGGGCTTGGAGGAGGGTATGAGTGTCCTTGTATGAGTTCTTCCTTTTTTTTAAATTTTTAAAAAATTTTTAAATTTTTTTTATAAACATATAATGTATTACTAGCCCCAGGGGTGCAGGTCTGTGAATTGCCAGCTTTACACACTTCACAGCACTCATCATAGCACATACCCTCCCCAATGTCCATAACCCCACCACCCTCTCCGTACCCCCCACCCCCAGCAACCCTCAGTTTGTTTTGTGACATTAAGAGTCTCTTATGGTTTGTCTCCCTCCCGATCCCATCATGTCTCATTTATTCTTTTCCTACTCCCCAAACCCCCCATGTTGCATCTCCACTTCCTCATATCAGGGAGATCATATGATAGTAGTCTTTCTCCGATTGACTTATTTCGCTAAGCATAATACCCTCTAGTTCCATCCACATCATCGCAAATGGCAAGATTTCATTTCTTTTGATGGCTGCATAGTTACAATGTACTAATCTTTACAGATTAGGATCTATACACTGTACTAATATTCAAAATTCACAGACCTGTGCACCAAAGATAGTCACTTTTCCATATAATTCTTTTAAAATTAAAATTTTAGGGGTACCTGGGTGGTTCAGTTGGCTAAGTGTCTGCCTTTGGCTTAGGTCATAATCCCAGATCCTGGGATTGAACCCCACACTGGCTTCCTGCTCATCAGAGAGGCCACTTCTTCCTCTCCCTCTGCCCCTCATCCCAGCTCCTGTGCTCTCCAACCCCCTTCTCTCAAATAAATAGAGAA